GGAGGGGGGGGGGGGGGGGGGGGGGGGGGTTGGAGTATCATGGAGGGTAAATTAGTGAAATCGCACAAAATACCATTAAAGCTAGTCAAACATCTACTGGACTAGTAAAGGACTAGTAAAGGACTAGTAAAGGACTAGTAAAGGACTAGTAAAGGACTAGTAAACAGTGGGTTTTAATGGTGATTTAAAGACAAGGACATGAAGTGCAGTACAACAGAGCAGCACTGGATATGCATATGTATTGGTATATATGTGTGTATATATGGATACTGTAAATATATACACGCATGTATATATTGGTACATGTGTTTATACATATATACAGACACATTTATAGGTATATGTTGGTATATGTGTGTGCATATATATATATATACACATATATTTACATATACATACATATATATATATATATATATATATATTTACATATATGAATGCCACGACACCGAGATCGACTTCCTGAATATAAACGTTTCACTGATGCGGATTGTGACACACCAATACACAGATGAACTCTGCAGCTCACAGATATATGTGAAAATGATATGTGAAAAGCAGAGCGCCTGCAAACTTGTTGTTATTTTGCTCCTGCAGGAGGTCTACGGTTATGACGTTTGTACGTTTGTTTCCTGTTTGAAAAGGGGGACAGGATGTGGGGGGGCGGGTGCTGAGGGGGGAGAACGGGGGCTCATTTTTTCAAATCAAAGTTTTTTACCAAAGAAACAAAAAAGAAAGAAAACCCTGACTTTATGGTTTTGTCTCTTTTTCAGATCGTTCATCACCAAACCTCCAGAAAGCTGAAGCTGAGGTGCTGAGGTCAGAGGTCAAGACGACGACGACGATGACGACGACGACGACGATGACGACGACGACGAGGCCACGACATCGAGATCGACTTCCAGAATATAAACGTTTCACTGATGCGGATTTTTTAAACTCCTTTCTGTTTGTGTTTGTGTTAAAACCGCGGGGTCTGGAGGTGTGTTTCAGACCGAACCTCAACTGTCTGGTCCAGGAGGAGACCCGGTTCTGTCAGGTTCTGTGTTCACTCATCTGTCACGCGCACAGTCACGTGCACGCGGCGACACCTGTAGCTGCAGCGAACACTGATTCAGTGGACCCTCCAGTAAAACAAACATCTCCCCCCGACGGCACTTCAGCAGGTGCTAGACGACTGTGATGTGATCAAAGCACCACCTAGCGGCTAATCTGGGTAACGCATCGTCTGACGGTATGAAAGATATTACAACACATTTATATAAGTCCATGTCTGAGATTGACATTTATACACGACTGTACTCGTTACTGTACACGTTTATACCTCAGAGTACACACTTTGTTGATGAATATATATATATATATGTATATATATGTATGATCTTTTCTCCTAAAAAATATATTAAAGGCTGAATATTAAAATTACTTCATCAGTTCCCAGATCCCCCCCCATCCCCGCGCCACTTCATTCAGCTGCTCCTGGGATATCCCTGGGCAGCCAAGAGATCTCGTCTCAGCAGCATGTGTTGGGTCTACCCCTTGGTCTACCTGGGGACCTATCTGGACCTGGGGGGGGGGTTCCTTCTGCAGGTGTCCTGCCCAGAGCGATGGCTCGACCTGATTGGTCTGCTTAATTGTTAAAAAAAGGAAAACTATTTTTTTGTAGTTGTAACAAAGCTCAGTCAAGTTTGGACGTGATAGCTATGAAAAAATGCTGATGTAAAGTGCTCCAAAAGGGGGCGCTGCAGAACAGATTTTGGGAATCACTTATTATTATTAGCGAATCAATAAATATAACACATTATCATCTGATGATCGTACGGATCTAAAAATGATCGTACAGCGCTACCTTCAAGATGAGGCCTGGAGTATTTTATACACAGTATCTGTGTATTTGTACATTTACTTTAATTAGCCTTTGAACACGGTCGGAAAAACTTGAACATTGTTTGTTGTCAGTAACTGCTGTAACAGCTAACGGTTTGTTACACTTGTTTCTCGAGCTAACCACATGAGGGAAACGGTCGAGTAAATCGGAAGTGGTTTGGTTCTTCAGTTCTTGATAAATGACACGGTAACCTAAAAAATCATGGGCGGGGTGGGGGGGGGGGGGGGGGGGAGTCTGGGGGGGAAATTTAGGGAAAT